TGGAACTCACTTTGGAGACCAGGCTGGCCTCGAACTCACAGAGATCCGCCTGGCTCTGCCTCCCGAGTGCTGGGATTAAAGGCGTGCACCACCACTGCCCAGCCCCTTGCCTTTTTTAAATCTTCCTACACATTTTGTATTCTTTTAATAAGCGTTACTTAATATTTAACATAGTTCCTTACTAACTAAAGTTAAGTATTTGTATGTTTGTTATTATTATCGCTATTATTGTCTGTACCTTTTTCTAACAGGAAGATACTTGGTTTCTCTTTGCCAGCATTGCATTTGTGGAGCAGGCTCACACAGGAGGGAGGAAAAACCCTAGCTAATTCTGATTCCCCTTCTGTCTTTGGAAAAGCAAGCGTGGGACCAGGGGTGTAGCACACTAAGCTCCAGTCCCATCCCCAGCCCTGCACAAACTCAGCGTGTCTGGGTACACTTGTAATCTGAAGTTCAAGGACATCCTCAGTTCCTTAGTTGAGATCAGCCTGCCTGAGAAATGAAAATGTAGAGCAAGTATGGTCAATAAAGGGATTTGTATGTTAATTACTTCTTACATTCTTATCAGGCAGTTATTTCAATTGTTCGGCTATTATTAATAATTCATTCAACAAATATTTACTGTGCCTTTCACATGTCCACCTCTGTTTTCATTGCTGGGGAGATAGCAAAGCACAGGACAGACGAGCCCAGCTGTGCCTTCCGCTGAGCTCACCTATGGGAGAAGGCTGTCACACAGCTAAGTACACAGTTGTTTAAATCGTGCAGTGCTGCTTGGAGACCCCGGCTGACACAATGCTGAAGTAACATATCACACCTTAACTACAGCCAGGAGAGCACTATTCCGGGAAAGTCCGAGGGTACCAGGGGACCAGGCTTCCTCTGCTGGATGAGCCAGGCAGGGGAAGTACCCCAGAAGTGTTGCTGGAGCAGAAGGTGCAGGATGAGAAGCTGTTCAGTAAGCAGAGTCCAGGAGTAGGACAGAATATTGAGGCTGGATGGGACTGAAAAGGTCCCTGCGGCTGGTGTGCAGGAGCAGTGGGGGAGGGGCACGAGAGGAGCCTCTGAGGGTCATATTCCTGGGAAGCCAGGGCAGGAAGTGTTAGGAAGAGTCATTCCCTGGCAAAGCTTTCACTGAGATCACCAATGTAATAGTCCTAAATTAGACTTTGGGTCAGCACCACCACAGAGCTCAAGGACCCTTTCCCATCATTCTTGTTCCCACTGTGTGCATTTTTGACTTCTCAAACAGACTGAGAATTCCCAGGGGCAGGGGCCTTGGCATTCACTCTGTCAGCATGCTGGCTGTATGAGGTCATAGATAAAGCAGGGTATGTCCTTTACGCAGTGTGCCCTGGGTTATCCCACTGAGACGATGGTGCTGCTCCTAGCTAACAACACCGAAGGAAACAAATCAAATCCTTCCTTCCCCCACTGAAAGCAGTTTTCCTTAGTTGATGGTCCAGATTGTTTTAGATTGTGTATTAACAATGATAATCGCCAGCTTGAGTGTCTTGGCATCTTCCTTCTAATTTTATGATGACAGCAGGTGAACAAGTTGAATGCAGTTTAGTTTTCAACAGGGTATGAAAGAGGGGGCTTCCAGTAAGTTTTGATAATTAAGGTTTATTTTATAATCACAATTTTTTGTTTTTTTGCATGAGACTATAATAGTAAGGTTTAAATGTTAAAATGTTGCATCTGTAGGAAGGTGGTGGGTCCTTCATCTTCCACCTGAGATCACTTTTGTGAGGCACTTATAACTAAATGGAATCTCTTTTGTTCATTAAGCCTTCCTAGCTCCAGTTTCAAGTGCAAGCCTCAGCATAATGAGGCTGCAGATCCCAGAGATTTCAGCAGGATTGCCAGCTATGACGTGAGGCCTTCTGTGATCTATGTGCTGAGCTCTCTCTGGCAGGAGCAATCTCATAGCTCTTTGAAAAATGCTGTAAATTCGCCATTGAGTGGGAGAAAAGAATAGAAATGTGCCTTTCCTTTCCCATTGTGTAAGCCGAGTGCTCTGCACCGAGCAGTTTATTTTGGATGGAAAATGACAGATGAACACAATGCGACCTCCCTCTCACTGGGCTTCTCTTTAAGAGGAAATGTCAACCCTCTGGGTCAAGTTCAGAAGGAGGAAATTAATTGTGCCAGCGGGTGACTCTCAGCAGGGAGAGGCAGTCTCTTTCCTTCATTTGATTTCAAAATTCTCACCTCAGCCAGAACCCTCTGCTGACTGAAGTTGATCCTTTGATCCAAAGTTAGTAACCCAGACAAACCTTACATTTTCGTTTTGACTTAGGTATAAATGTCCACCATTAAAAAACCCCAAATTTTAAATGCTTCATAGAGTCTCCACTTTTAAGAGTGGACCTTTGGATTAGAAGTGGATGTCATTTTTTCTTGAAATACATGGCCCACAAATTCTAGTTTGGGTTTCTGAAGATTGAGGGCAAGTGTGCTTCAGTCTCTGTGACAGATCTGCTGAGCCTGCCACCTGATGACCTGTCTTTATGGTTGTCTTGCCTGCTCATACTTGGAAACAATGAGTTGTTTTAGCATCTCATGGGAGTGAATCTTTCTAAAGCCAGCATCTGGTCTAGTTTTCATAGGAAACAATTCTTTTCATCCCAAGTCTCATCTGTTACTTGGTACTTAATCAAATTACTTAATTAGAGTAATGAACCTGGCTGACTCTGGATCATGCTGGCACCTAGCTGGCTGGGAACAGAAGCCTGGCTGTGGAGAAGAACTAGCTGCAGGCATTTAGTGTGTCCCGGGTTTTGTAGAGGAAGTGAAGGACCTGGTAAGCTCTCCTCCCAGATGTACCACACAGGTGGATTCCTTCCTAGTGATATTACTATTTTAAAAAAAACGATTTATTGGCCTGGTGGTAGTGGCCCATGTCTTTAATCCCAGCACTCGGGAGGCAGAGGCAGGCAGATCTCTGTGAGTTCGAGGCCAGCCTGGTTTACAGAGTGAGTTCCAGGGCTACACACAAAAACCCTGTCTCGAAAAACCAAAAGAAAAAGTAATTTATTTATTTTTGTGTGTGGGTGTGTATATGCCTCGGGTCTGGGGGGGTCAGAGGGCAACTCGCAGGAGCCGCTTCCCCTCCTCCACCATCTCGGTCACCAAGCTTGGGGTCACGTGTCTCTCCCCACCCAGCCATCTCTCCGGCTTGATGACGACGATTGTGACTCTCCTAAGGAATACGTGCAACCTGGAGAAGAGTGTCCTCTTGCTTGCTTGTGGAGTTATGTCTGCAATCGTGGGGACTGAGAATCCCAGCGGCACTATTTTCTGAGCTTGTGGGTACCACTGCCTCAATTTTCTTTCTGTCCAGAAGGGGATAATAATGTCTGCCCATAGGACTAGTCTAAGGATTTAATGAGATAAAAATGCCAGCAGAAACAAGCAACTAGGTGTTCGGTTCTCTCCCCACCCAGAGCAAAAGTTGGCTGTGGGAGAAGGCCCAGAAATTCCTCAGTAATTCACATTTGCAGGGATGGTTGTCTTCTCCCTGGGTCAAGAGGACTGATGAAGCTAACCCAGAGCTGGTACCAGCTCCAGAGAAAGGTCTGGGGCTAGGCCAAGGCAAGGATGCCTGATCCTGGAAGTTTACCTGCTGACAGAAAGAGAGGACCAGGTTGTGTCAAAGGACACCAAGGCCCAAACTGTAGCTATGGGTCTGCCTTGGGTCCCAGAGGAAGGCCCTGACCTGGGGGTCAGGCCATGAAGCAACAAAGCTGTGCCTGTGAAAATTTACCTCTGTGTCACCAAGCCAAGAGCTCCTTGGAGAATGAACAGTGTCTGCAGGATCTGGAGGTGGGTGGCCAGAGCATCTCCCAGTGGGTCCTACCTTACCAGCTCCATGGGATGTTGCGTGTTTCTCCATTTTTCCTTTTGAGGCCAGTTAAAAATCCCTGGAACTCAGCATCACAAACTGAGTAATTCAAGTGGGCAGGCTACTGATCTTGAGAGGGCAGCGGAAACATCATAGGGCATCATGGGAAAACTCAAAAGCAAGGGCAGAGCTGCAGATGGCTAAGCAGATAACCCCCCAACAACTTACAGAAAAAGCAGCAGGCAGCATGGCTTAGGGAGGAGAGCTGCAGGGAGACGGAATGCAAGCAGGGGTCAATGAAGTTCGTTACAGTCCAGAGTGAGGGGCCAGCGCAGCAGTCAGGGCCGGGCTGGGCTGTTCTACCACGAACTGGACCATGTCTACGCGAGGCGAGGAATGGACGTGCACTGGAAGCCCATGGCACCGCTTACAGAGGCACGGGAGGGAGATGCTTTCTCCTTCACACTTGGGTACACCTTCACGTGTGAGCCACAGGTATATGGGTACTGTGAGCAAGACTAAATGGAAAAGAAAGCAAATGGCGGCACGGAGCTCTTACTGGACTACAGACAGATGGTGGCTACAGCCAGGTGCCTTGTAAAGAGCACAGGCTCCTGGGCGTATGTCCATGCTCACAGCCCTCACCTCCCCATCAGTCACATGGTCAGGTCAGTGTCCCTCCGGCACCAGCTTTACAGTGCATTTGTAATCAAGAAAGCATGTTGTGCATGGTTTAAAATGTGACCTGTGTCACCTGACCCAAGAGAAACACGAAACTCTTTAAGCCACAGTGGAAGTTGTTTTTCTACTCTAGAACTGTCTAGAACGGCAAATGTCAAATGCTTTGTGTGTGTGTGTGTGTGTGTGTGTGTGTGTGTGTGTGTGTGTGTGTGTGTGTGTACAATGGAATGCAGGGCCTGGTGCATGCTGATGCTGGGCAAGCTCTCTCCTGAGGGGCTCAAGCTGTGCTTACTGTCTCTTTAACTTAAGGCATTCACCTGGTCCCATCTTCCTTTTTCTGTCTCTTCATCCTCTCATAACATCAACATCTTCATTTCTAAAGAGTGTAAGTCAGCTTCTGCCCCTTCTTTCCAGGCCCAACATCCTCTCATTTGTATCTGTTTCTTCACACAAGACGCAGGTGAAATGCTTTTGGCGGGGTATTATGACAGACGGTGTAATAAACGCTCTCTGGTTTCTTTGAAGTGTATAAAGTTGGTAATTAAGAATTCTAATATTCCTTTTCCCTCCTTCTCTCCAGCAGGCCAACTGCTGTCAGGTGACGTCTGCCATCACGCCATGATGGAGGCCGTGAGCTATCTGTACAGGTCACTTGATTTAAGGTCCACTCACCTGGGGTCTTCCCATGCGTCCATCCAGGGAATACTGCAGTGAGTTTCTGTTGCCTGTCTCAGAAAGTAGACTTTGTGATTTTCTGTGTGAACACACAGGCACTTGACACGTTCTGGTCTTTTGCAGCCTTCTAAGGGAAATCCAGAGGTTCCGGGGCAGGAGGTTTTGGCCTCAAGGCATGAGCCAGCTACACTCCGAAGGTTCTAAGAATGGCTTTTTGTTATGGGAAAACTTGTCTAAATTAAACTTCTGCAGCGCCCAGAGTTCGGACACGGTGAACACTGCAATGTGTATGAATGCAAGTAAGCTGCAGGGAGCTAAAAGCGCAGAGCCGGTGCCGCCTCCGGTGTCAGATAAACCCAAATGTTTTCCTGGCAAAGGAAGGAAGACTTTGATTCCAATTCTGTCTGCTGGGGAAAAGACCCAAATATGGAATGGTCCAAGGAAGCAAGCGCCAAGGAAAAAGAACTATTCCACCAAGACGTTGTCCGTGGGTGAAAAGAAGGGCTTAGTCAAACTTTCAAAGCAAAGAGTTTTCTCTGCCAAATGTGAGAGTGGAGACGGGCTAATCACCGCGATTTACCGCCGGCCCCCGAGAGCGCCTCTGAGTGCAAACAATCCCTGGCAATCCATATCTGAGCTTGTATCAGAAAAATGGCTTTTCCACACCCCACAGTACAGCTTTACTCCCCAGAAATATGTTTTCCCAAGAAGATCTCAAATAGAAACAAAATGGTTGAGGATCTCAGATGAAACCAATAATGAATAAAAACCATTTTGGGCTCTTTTGTATTTAAGTTTTTCTCAGTCTTTTTGAAGTTTTATGTGTGTGTTTGTGGGACATGTGTGTACATGTTTGTGTGTAGGTCAGAAGTCAATGTCGATGTTTTCCTCAATCGCTTTCCCCCTTATTTTTTATTTTTTTCTCTATGTAACAGCCCTGGTTGTCCTGGAACTCACTCTGTAGACCAGGCTGGCCTTGAACTCAGAGATTCTCCTGCCTCTGCCTCCCAAGTGCTGGGATTAAAGGGATTAAAGGCGTGCACCACCACCTCCCAGCCCCCCTTATTTTTTGAGACAAGGTCTCACTGAACCTAGAGCTCACTGGTTCTACTAGACCGGCTAGTCAGTGAGCGCCAGGGATGATGAGGTCACAGGGACAGGCTGTCACGCCTGGCTTTTTATGGCGGTCCTTGTGTGTGACAGGAAGCTCTTTACAGACTAAGCTAGCTCCCTAGCATCTATTTTGGATTCTTTCATTGGATATTTTCTTTTAAACACTTAGGAGTGGTCATTATCCAGGTCTGGGGATTCAATTTTCTTAGTCCCTTATAATGTTATGTCTGATTTTAGTTAAAAAGAGCAGGTTTTTAAGTGATCCACATTTCTCTCCAGCAGGCCAATTGCTGTCAGGTGACATCTGCCATCACGCCATGATGGAGGCCGTGAGCTATCTGTACAGGTCACTTGATTTAAGGTCCACTCACCTGGGGTCTTCCCATGCGTCCATCCAGGGAATACTGCAGTGAGTTTCTGTTGCCTGTCTCAGAAAGTAGACTTTGTGATTATCTGATTATCTTGATCCCATAGTCCTATATGCCTTTTTTATTTTTTATTTTATTTTTTATTTTTTTTTTTTGGTTTTTCGAGACAGGGTTTCTCTGTGTAGCTTTGAACCTTTCCTGGATCTTGCTCTGTAGACCAGGCTGGCCTCGAACTCACAAAGATCTGCCTGGCTCAATATATATATATATATATATATATATGGAATCTTATCAATTTTAACTTTATTTTTACATTGCTAGAGTTTATCTATTTTGAGTTAAAAATTTTTTCATCTAAGCAAATTGATGATTGTTATCACCAAAACTTTTTATTAATACATTAAGAAAAAATAGGAATTGAAATGTTCTCAAGTCATAAAGTAAGCTTTATGTATCAGAGCCCATGGATTTGATACTACATCTATTTGAACATTTTGTTACCCTCCGTTTTATCAGTGATTTGTAAAACATTAACCTGTAATAGTTAAGGATGACTTTCCAGCTACCCTTATCCCTACCACTCAACAAAATTATTCCTAGAAAACTCACAGAAGAGGGGACTCAGCTATGTGACTTGACCTCTGCTGTGTCCCAGTTTTGTTAGGTATAAAATTAGAGATATGGTGCTTATCTTTCAAGATAGTTAAGAAAATTGTATGAGATAAAATACACTGGACATCTTCCCGCTGATGGTTTTATTATCAGTCACGAACTAGCTTAGGCGTCATCTTCTTCCACGAAACAGCTGACTCTTCCAGCCCACAATTTAAGAATCACGACTGTGCCTCACCTATTTCACATACGCCAGCTATTTCCCCAATTTACCTCCCACTCGGTGGTCACCATGGGGTAGTTTGGGAATTCCTTGGGGCCCAGTGCTTCTCAGGCAGGTCTTGGGTGGATGATAGTCAGTCCCGCAGGAGTCCTGTCTGACTCAGTGCACACAGAAATGGCGCCCGGTGGGGCGGCTGCTGTTTATTGGCTTTTAGTGGAGCTACAAGGCATGGAACAAGTGCAGTTAGCAGGTGAGCTGAGCAGGCACCAGCGTGCTGCGAGCGTGGGCGGGAGCCTGATAATCATGTCCAGAGGACCTGTCTGGAGGTGGGAATCCGGCTTTCCAGAGGCAGTGCACCGAAAGGGAAATCTGAATGTGCTTTATACCTATTAGAATCTTCAGGGGGTGGGATCTTGCAGGCGATTTTAGACCTTGTGTGGGACCTCGGCCCAGCTACCCTTTAAAGGGCAGGTTTGGATGGACTTCAGGACCGTCTCAGACTGGCACCCGAGATCCAGCAGATACCCGCAGAAGCCACTGACGCGGAGTGAGGTCACCTTCCAGAGGCTGGGACCAGGGCAGGGGTGTGTAGGGAGCACACTGTCAGAGCAACCACAATCGGGGGCCGCCACGGAGGGCAAGAGGAAGGTAGCGCGGAGTCCTGCGGGCGGCGACAGCGTCGGAGACGAATCATCCTAGTCCATGTGGCCTCAAGAACCACTCCCCCCGCCACCCCCACGCCTCGCGGGGTCAGGAAGTGACCGCAGCCGACCGGGCACCTAAGGCCCCGCCCCACCTCGTTTCTCCAAGGCTTCTCCGCCTCTGACTTAACCCAGCCCCGGTCCCACCCCATTTCCCCAGGCCCCGCCCTGACTCCGCCTCCGACCCGGTCAAGGACGGTCCCACTCAGTCTCTATAGGACGCAGTCCTGACTCAGTCCAGCCAGGCCCCGCCCCTGACTCCGCCCCCGACTCGGTCAAGGACGGTCCCGCTCAGTCTCTATAGGCCGCAGTCCTGACTCCGCCCAGCCAGGCCCCGCCCCTGACTCCGCCCTAGTCCCCACCCACCCCACCGCCCCAAGCTCCGCCTCTGACCCCGCCTCCCACTCCCGTCTAGATCCCGCCCACACCCCCAGGCCTCGCCTCCGACCCCGCCCAGGCCCCGCCCCTCGGAGGCTGGCGCTCGGGTCGCGAGGCCGCTGGCTCAGACACAGGAGTCACCGCCGGCTCGCGTCCCGGAGCCTCCCCGCGCTGGCTGTCCGCGCCTCTGGCTGCTTGGCGGCGGCATGGCCACAG